AGGGGCCCTGGCTCCCCGGGAGGGGGTTGGGGGAAGTGGGGCTGGCCAGTGGCACAGCGGGGGGAGCAGGGGCGAGGAATGAATCGGCCTGTGGGGAGTGGGACTGACCCGGCCATATGTAGATCTTGGGACACTGCCCCTGTTCCCTGTTAGTCCAGCCTGGGGATTCTATTGTTCCCCCCCACACGCCCCCTCAGGTAGTTGTGAACTGTCTGGCTGGTAGACACACTCATGCAGCCCAAGCACATTTACCAGCCAGGCAGTTCGAAACTACAAACTGATACATCTAACAATAATACAACTTACCTACTGAGAAAATACCAGACATGTTATATGTCTGGTATTTTCTCAGTTTGTTTTTTATGTGTTTATATTTTTGGGCTGTAAAAAGCAGTATTGGGAAAAAAAAGGATTCCAACTAAAGTAAAAAGTTTGGGAAACCCTGGTTTAACCAGCTTTCTGTCTGTCTTATAGTCCATTTATCCAATCCATATTCCTTAACTTGCTTGCAAGAATATTGTGGGCGACCATATCAAAAGCTTTGCTAAAGCTGGCACTGGGGGTCTTGGGAGGACCAGAAACAACTTATTTGAATATTCCTCATTTGATTAATGAATATGCAAATATGAAAATGAACATTACCGGTCCTCCAAAAGTTCGTGAATGGATTTACTAGTCCCCGTGTCAAAAAGTTTGGGAACCCCTGATCTATTTTATAAGTATATGGTAAAAAATGAGAAAATTAACAATTTTTTGGTAGGAGTGTGCCTCTTCTGTATTTTTATGTCTGCTTTTGTAAGCAAGTGGGTTTTGTATGAGGGGGTATGCCAGACAAATCAGACTCCTGGAAGGGGCACAGTAGTTCAGGAAGGTTGAGAGCCATTATCTTAAGCCATAAAAGGAATTAAGTTGCAGCTCTTGTATTTGTTTTCTGAGATCCCAACTGGAAATTTTTCGTATTTCCTTGCTGGAAATGACATTTTGCTTAATCTTTCTAGGTGCGATCTATAGTCAGTGACTTCGCAGTCTTTCTCACTATTATGTCCATGGTTTTAACTGACTATGCCCTTGGGATTCCATCTCCAAAGCTTCAGGTTCCAAATGCATTCAAGGTAATTCACTAATAAGCTGCACGATTGTATTGTGTCACTAAAATAGTGTACCAAATAATAGATTGAGTAAATCTTTGATAACAAGTTAGTACTAATTATTCTCTGAACTGTCGGCATGTGTGTCTATAGTGCTTAGAACAGCAGGGTCTAGATCCAACTTGTGGCCCTTGGCTCTACAATAATATAGATATAGATAATGAAAAACGTTATACTGTGCAACCTTTATTATCCAAAATTAATTGATCTGAAATTCCCTTTTATCTGGGGCATGTCCTGTTTGACAAAAGTGAAATTGGGCTATTTGATCCTTAAGAGTGAAAGAGAATTATTTTGCTAAAGTGCTGTACTTTGATTATTTCCCTGTGCTTTTTTGTTTGGGCTAACAAAAAAGTCTTAGCCAATTTAAGAAAAATCTACCCCATTTTTCTTCTCACCCCTGCCCATGTCTGGCTCCCCTGTGCTCCTTATATTGGGGGACCAGACAGCAGACTGTGAAGTTTGCAGTCACATGTTCCAAGATTATTATATTTTGAGGCATCCTGCTGAGACCTTGAATCATTATCTTTGTACTGAATGCAATAAAGTTTGTAATATCCCAGTTATATATTAACTGTAAAAAACTTAAAGAAATGCTATGTTTATATTTAACTTCTCTTTGTGTTACTAGTATGGTGTTTAGTATTTTCTGTGTTATACAAAGAGATAGCAATTCTTCAAAGAAGCATCTCTAAATGAAACATGTCATTTCTTAAGTCATGCTTGTGTGTGTGTGGCTGCAAAGACGAAGCATTTAATAATCATTATAATTCTGAACTGGTCATACATGAACTTATATTTTTATAGCCCACCAGAGATGATCGGGGCTGGTTTGTCTCTCCTCTGGGGCCTAATCCTTGGTGGACAGTTTTAGCTGCTGTAATTCCAGCTCTCCTTTGTACTATCCTTATCTTTATGGACCAGCAGATTACAGCTGTTATTATCAACAGAAAAGAACACAAACTAAAGGTATTCAGTCAAAAAGCTATATGTCTGCTTTAGCTTCCTGCTTTGCTTTATGTAATGTACTTTCAATACCTCTCAATGACAATTAACATACTTGCATTATTTAGCAGACTTTTTCAATAAACTAAAGAAATTGAGCAAGTATATTAATTTTGTGTATGTGATTTGTATATATTCATCAGAGATTCTCTTTTTACATAAGGCTTATAAAGTGAATAGACTCACTTAAGCAGATGTCATTTAACTTTAGCTTAAGACCCATGGATTTCAAAGAGAACTTAAACACATGCTGTAAATTAAATACTTGTTGACTACTTGCTTTTTCTTAATCTAAACTGTAATGTTTAATATCTCTTTAAATCTGTTGGTGGGCTTAATTTTGAGACTCTATTAAGGGGGACACAGTATTTTCTTATCACTTTGTTCCTTTCTTTGCCTCTCTGTATCTTTTGAATTTTTCCATAAGTGCTCCTTCCCTTCCCTTCTTGGAGGAGGAAGAAGTGTAAAAACTGAACTTTAGAGGCAAAATGGAATCTTAAAACAACATAGAACAACTTCTTGCTGGATGTCTACAGATGGAGAGGGGAAGAAAGGGGCATCACCTCTCTGAAAAGATGCTGGGCAAAATCCAATAGCAGGTTTCTGTACTTATATATGCAGCAATTTTAGGCCTCTTTTTGACATACATTTAATAAACAGCAATCCAATCCCAGATCATTTTAGCAAATGTATTGGCGTCCTTTACTTTGCACTGCCTTTTCTTCGATGAGTGTGACATTTGATATGTTCTTTTTTTGCCCTTTTTGTCAGCCTGACTCTTCATGTCAATCCATAGCATTGCATGTGATTAACTTGACAGATGCAGGAAATTGCTGCCAAGCTTTGGAATGTGTTTTTTTCAGCACTGGCATCTGGGAGTCAGATGGTTCTCCTGGCTGCCCTCTTGTCTTGCTGCATATTAGTTTTCCTGGGGTCTGGCGTAGCATCACCTGTTGCTATGCTTTCTTGTCCTCCCATATGTCAGTTTCCTTGTAACTAGGGAAAAACTCTCTGATTCTGTATGCATTAGTGCATACATTTCTCCGAAATGTGTCAGAAGGTAAAAAAGGTGTCTCTGTTAGGATTTAGATTTAAACTCCTTCTCTGAGTGCTTGTGTGCATATAACTAATCTATGTTAACACATCTCCGTGTTTAGTTAGAAATGTCTTAGGTGTAAGACTAGTGAGATAGTGAAAGGGGTTTGAGTTGGATTTTTTCTTTGATTTACTTCCTAAGAAGGTGTCTCTTTTTTATATTTTCTGTAGCAAATTCTGAATAGTGTGCCTTAGAATTTCCTTTGATAGTCTCTGAAGCAAACTCTTCCAAGTTTGTTTGACACGGTTTGTGTTACTTTTTTATGTCATAGGCCATCTGCATAAATTTATGGGTAAGATTCTGGTTCAGTACATTTGTGTTATTTCCATGAGCTGTACTGCTCTATCAGCTCAGGAAGCTCGTCTTGTGGCCATACTGGAACAGCATGTGACTTTTCTCAGTAACAGTTTGAACTTTAAGGGTACGTCTACACTACAGAGATGATCAAAGCTGCCACTGTCAATCTTCCATGGTTCGAATTAGCGGATCTAATGAAGACACACTAATTCGAACTGAGAGGAGCCAGTAGTCCTGCTTCCACAAGGAGTAAATGAAGTTGAAGGGAGAATATCCTCCCTTTGACTTCCTGCAGTGCGGATAGTGCCAAAAGTTGAGTTAAGGTACTTCAACTTCAACTACTCAATTAACGTAGCTGAAGTTGTGTATCTTAATTTGACTTTATCCCGTAGTGTAGGCATACCCGTAGGGTACGTCTAGACTACATGCCTCTGGCAACAGAGGCATGTAGATTAGGCTACCTGGCATAGGAAAATGAAGCAGCGATTTAAATAATTGCCGCTTCATTTAAATTTAAATGGCTGCCGCGCTGAGCCGATCAGCTGTTTGACGGCTCAGTGCGGTAGTCTGGAGGCTCCGCAGTTGACATCAAAGGCATTTGTCGACCTCCCAGGTAAACCTCATCCCAGGAGGCATACCTAGGCGGTCGACAAATGCCTTAGACGTCGACCGCGGAGCGTCCAGACTACCGCGCTGAGCCGTCAAACAGCTGATTGGCTCAGCGTGGCAGCCATTTAAATTTAAATGAAGTGGCAATTATTTAAATCGCCACTTCATTTTCCTATTCTGGGTAGCCTAATCTACATGCCTCTGTCGCCAGAGGCATGTAGTCTAGATGTACCCTAAGTGTGCTGGTGAACCACAGCCTTAGAGAGTATGTTTATATAGTAGCTAGAAGTGAAATTTTCATCAAGGTAGATGTTTTCTTTTGATTGAGATAGTGCTATAAGAATAGTAGTGTAGGCAAAGCGTCATGGGTTAACTGCCTGAATATATATCTAGGATTTCAAATATGACTGTACTTGGCTGGCTAGCTTGGTGTCTACACCACCACAACTACAACACACTAAAATTAGCACTATGTCAATTATATCTAGTGTGTGAGTTGAGAGTGATGTCCACAGTGCTCTTGGGTTTCCAGAAAGAGGGAAGAAGAAAGTCCAGCTTTGACAAAAACGTTCATTTATATGGAAAAGCTGTATGCAAAGCAATGTTCATTCTCACATATCAGTTGAACACAAACCAAGGTTGATTTTTAATGAATCAAATGTTTTGCATACATCTGCTCAGTAGCACTGAAATGTTATAACTCAATTTTGCTAAATTACAGATTATCTAACACGGTCGACTTTCCAAAATGGCATTTCTTTCATAATGACTGTTCCTACCAATAAGATGGTATTTCTTAAAATGCAACAGGAAATTTGAAAAAGCATAGTATCTGATTTATTTTTAACCAATCTTCTTAGTTAATAGAAAGCTATTTTATAGTGGACAAAAGTAGAAACACAGATTGAAATCTCCAGAAAAAAAATCACAAGCAAATCTTAGTTCAGCATGATGATGATACTATGCGGAACTTACTTACTTGACATGCTGTTAATATAAAGGCTTTTAAAACATACAAAAGGATGCATGTTCCTTTATAGACACTGATTATTTAAATTGGTTTTGTAGCTGCTAATTTAACAACATCTATGATATGTTGTGGAAGGAAGAATCAAGTTGTGTGTTTCTAATTTCTGTAAGAACGTGTCAGTTTGGTCGCCTTTATTAAGTTATTTGAAGTAAATTCAGTGCATGAAAAAGATACCATATTGGCAGCCCTGGTGATTGACATCCACTGTTATCAGCAGCAAGGCAGCAGACACACATCTTCCCCATATTTGCTCACCAACGTATTTATGAAACTGGCTATGGAAGGACCACCTGAAAGCATGGCTTTCTTGCTATCCCTTGTGAGACCACCTGCAAAGATACCAAATTATACTTGTTTTAGTAGGAGATTTGTAATATGGATCCTTGCCTGCCAGGAACTAGACTAAGATGGCCAACTCATTTCACATAAACTACCAAACTGTCACCATATATAACCAGTTCAGTTGGATAAAACATGGAAGACTACTATTTTCTGTTGGGCATTAGAGGTTTTAAAATTGTTTCTAGTAGTTAACTAGGTCTGCCTGCTGCTAGAGATTTCAGATGTCATTTTTAATTCAGATATCATTTTACATGTTGCTATTGTTTCTGTTTCTTTTAACAGAAAGGGTGTGGATACCATCTCGACTTGCTCATGGTGGCTCTCATGCTTGGAGTGTGCTCCATTATGGGATTGCCATGGTTTGTTGCTGCCACTGTACTTTCTATTTCCCATGTGAACAGCTTGAAACTGGAATCGGAGTGCTCTGCTCCAGGAGAGCAGCCCAAATTTCTTGGAATACGGGAACAAAGAGTTACAGGGCTCATGATCTTTGTCCTAATGGGCTCATCTGTCTTTTTGACAAGTGTTCTTAAGGTAATAGATTCTGAAAGATAAAAAGTGAATAGTGCTGTGCATAGAATCTCAATTCTAATGTTTTTTATCTATTACACAGCCAACCAGTATCCTATGTTGCAATATTAGGTTTCTGTATGACGACAGTCAATGTATTCTAATACTCATATAATAAAATACGTAGGGACATTTAATATTTTAACCAAAAAGGTTCAGGGTGAAATCCTGGCTGCACTGAAGTCAGTGGAAATTCTGTTCATCATTAGTTTAGCCTTAGATTAATGGCAAATTTTCATCTGAAAATCAAAGTCTGGCAAAATTACACTAGTAACGGAATTTGTTCAGTATTTGGATAACTTAAGAACATTTGTGATTGATGTGTGGGTTAAAAAGGGAGGGTTTCCAATGAGCACTCTGCATCTGATGTCTTTGAAATAACCAGCTAAATTTTCTCACATTCTCTGCAGATTCTAGGTCAAAGCAAATAACTAGGGGTCTATTCTCACCATATGTGTACACGATTCTTAATAATATCAGGCAAAATCCTCATCCTAATGAAATTGATGGGAATTTTGTCATAGGCTTCATGGAGATCGGGCTTTGGCCTTATGTATGCTTATCGTTGTTTAATGCTTATATTTTTGGATAATTCTGTTTTCAATATAATGTTATGCCTGTTTCACAAAAAGTGTGTTCTGTGCATTACATTTAAAATATTTAAATATGGAAAGATTTCCCTGCCCACATACTTTGTACCAGAAAGTGTCTGCACATTTTAGCTTGATATTCAGACTCACAAAATTGTTGCAAAATAGTCATACACTATACATACCAACACTTTGCACACAAACAGAAAATTCTCCTTAGTGGTATTATTTGTTTTGTTTTATTTACACTATGAAAAAAGGGTAATCTTAGATGCTTTTTCTGAAATTGTTGGTTGCTATCTTCAGGTGACATTCTGAACAACATTTTACATGAAAGCTATCTGATTATATTATATATGTACTCTTCCATTTGTATTTTCTGGGCATTTGTATTAGTTTTTGAGAACAGCGAGTAAAGTACATTGTGGTAACTGTTAGATCAAAACTGTTAGGTCAAACTGTTAGATTCTGCTCTTGCTTTAAACAGTTGAAAACCCAGAGTAACTTTCCTAATTTTAAGGCTGAAATTATTGCAGTTTGATTAATTTGGGAATATGGCTTTTTGAATTAAAACTATTTACAATATCTTAATACGTGAACTGATATTCATAATGTTCTTCTCTTTCTCCCTTTTTCCTCTGTGCAGTTTATTCCTATGCCAGTACTCTATGGAGTATTTCTTTACATGGGTGCTTCATCTCTAAAGGGAATTCAGGTAAAATGGAGTAAAAAAGCACACATAGGTTTTTCTATTAGTGATTGTGTTTACCTTTAAGATGGCTAGTTATTTTTCTCTTACTCTCCATTCTTACTCTCTATTATTCTTCTTACATATGGAAACTTAAAGGGAAACTTAAAGGGAGACGCGGAGCAAAGCCGCGGAGGACCGGGCGGGACCGCGGCGCATCTGGGCGCTCCCGCCTCCCAGGTCCTCCGCAGCCCTTC